ACTTCTTTCTTCTTTTAATCTTCCTCCTCCTTCACTTCTTTCTTCTTTTAATCTTCCTCCTCCTTCACTTCTTTCTTCTTTTAATCTTCCTCCTCCTTCACTTCTTTCTTCTTTTAATCTTCCTCCTCCTTCACTTCTTTCTTCTTTTAATCTTCCTCCTCCTTCACTTCTTTCTTCTTTTAATCTTCCTCCTCCTTCACTTCTTTCTTCTTTTAATCTTCCTCCTCCTTCACTTCTTTCTTCTTTTAATCTTCCTCCTCCTTCACTTCTTTCTTCTTTTAATCTTCCTCCTCCTTCACTTCTTTCTTCTTTTAATCTTCCTCCTCCTTCACTTCTTTCTTCTTTTAATCTTCCTCCTCCTTCACTTCTTTCTTCTTTTAATCTTCCTCCTCCTTCACTTCTTTCTTCTTTTAATCTTCCTCCTCCTTCACTTCTTTCTTCTTTTAATCTTCCTCCTCCTTCACTTCTTTCTTCTTTTAATCTTCCTCCTCCTTCACTTCTTTCTTCTTTTAATCTTCCTCCTCCTTCACTTCTTTCTTCTTTTAATCTTCCTCCTCCTTCACTTCTTTCTTCTTTTAATCTTCCTCCTCCTTCACTTCTTTCTTCTTTTAATCTTCCTCCTCCTTCACTTCTTTCTTCTTTTAATCTTCCTCCTCCTTCACTTCTTTCTTCTTTTAATCTTCCTCCTCCTTCACTTCTTTCTTCTTTTAATCTTCCTCCTCCTTCACTTCTTTCTTCTTTTAATCTTCCTCCTCCTTCACTTCTTTCTTCTTTTAATCTTCCTCCTCCTTCACTTCTTTCTTCTTTTAATCTTCCTCCTCCTTCACTTCTTTCTTCTTTTAATCTTCCTCCTCCTTCACTTCTTTCTTCTTTTAATCTTCCTCCTCCTTCACTTCTTTCTTCTTTTAATCTTCCTCCTCCTTCACTTCTTTCTTCTTTTAATCTTCCTCCTCCTTCACTTCTTTCTTCTTTTAATCTTCCTCCTCCTTCACTTCTTTCTTCTTTTAATCTTCCTCCTCCTTCACTTCTTTCTTCTTTTAATCTTCCTCCTCCTTCACTTCTTTCTTCTTTTAATCTTCCTCCTCCTTCACTTCTTTCTTCTTTTAATCTTCCTCCTCCTTCACTTCTTTCTTCTTTTAATCTTCCTCCTCCTTCACTTCTTTCTTCTTTTAATCTTCCTCCTCCTTCACTTCTTTCTTCTTTTAATCTTCCTCCTCCTTCACTTCTTTCTTCTTTTAATCTTCCTCCTCCTTCACTTCTTTCTTCTTTTAATCTTCCTCCTCCTTCACTTCTTTCTTCTTTTAATCTTCCTCCTCCTTCACTTCTTTCTTCTTTTAATCTTCCTCCTCCTTCACTTCTTTCTTCTTTTAATCTTCCTCCTCCTTCACTTCTTTCTTCTTTTAATCTTCCTCCTCCTTCACTTCTTTCTTCTTTTAATCTTCCTCCTCCTTCACTTCTTTCTTCTTTTAATCTTCCTCCTCCTTCACTTCTTTCTTCTTTTAATCTTCCTCCTCCTTCACTTCTTTCTTCTTTTAATCTTCCTCCTCCTTCACTTCTTTCTTCTTTTAATCTTCCTCCTCCTTCACTTCTTTCTTCTTTTAATCTTCCTCCTCCTTCACTTCTTTCTTCTTTTAATCTTCCTCCTCCTTCACTTCTTTCTTCTTTTAATCTTCCTCCTCCTTCACTTCTTTCTTCTTTTAATCTTCCTCCTCCTTCACTTCTTTCTTCTTTTAATCTTCCTCCTCCTTCACTTCTTTCTTCTTTTAATCTTCCTCCTCCTTCACTTCTTTCTTCTTTTAATCTTCCTCCTCCTTCACTTCTTTCTTCTTTTAATCTTCCTCCTCCTTCACTTCTTTCTTCTTTTAATCTTCCTCCTCCTTCACTTCTTTCTTCTTTTAATCTTCCTCCTCCTTCACTTCTTTCTTCTTTTAATCTTCCTCCTCCTTCACTTCTTTCTTCTTTTAATCTTCCTCCTCCTTCACTTCTTTCTTCTTTTAATCTTCCTCCTCCTTCACTTCTTTCTTCTTTTAATCTTCCTCCTCCTTCACTTCTTTCTTCTTTTAATCTTCCTCCTCCTTCACTTCTTTCTTCTTTTAATCTTCCTCCTCCTTCACTTCTTTCTTCTTTTAATCTTCCTCCTCCTTCACTTCTTTCTTCTTTTAATCTTCCTCCTCCTTCACTTCTTTCTTCTTTTAATCTTCCTCCTCCTTCACTTCTTTCTTCTTTTAATCTTCCTCCTCCTTCACTTCTTTCTTCTTTTAATCTTCCTCCTCCTTCACTTCTTTCTTCTTTTAATCTTCCTCCTCCTTCACTTCTTTCTTCTTTTAATCTTCCTCCTCCTTCACTTCTTTCTTCTTTTAATCTTCCTCCTCCTTCACTTCTTTCTTCTTTTAATCTTCCTCCTCCTTCACTTCTTTCTTCTTTTAATCTTCCTCCTCCTTCACTTCTTTCTTCTTTTAATCTTCCTCCTCCTTCACTTCTTTCTTCTTTTAATCTTCCTCCTCCTTCACTTCTTTCTTCTTTTAATCTTCCTCCTCCTTCACTTCTTTCTTCTTTTAATCTTCCTCCTCCTTCACTTCTTTCTTCTTTTAATCTTCCTCCTCCTTCACTTCTTTCTTCTTTTAATCTTCCTCCTCCTTCACTTCTTTCTTCTTTTAATCTTCCTCCTCCTTCACTTCTTTCTTCTTTTAATCTTCCTCCTCCTTCACTTCTTTCTTCTTTTAATCTTCCTCCTCCTTCACTTCTTTCTTCTTTTAATCTTCCTCCTCCTTCACTTCTTTCTTCTTTTAATCTTCCTCCTCCTTCACTTCTTTCTTCTTTTAATCTTCCTCCTCCTTCACTTCTTTCTTCTTTTAATCTTCCTCCTCCTTCACTTCTTTCTTCTTTTAATCTTCCTCCGCCTTCACTTCTTTCTTCTTTTAATCTTCCTCCTCCTTCACTTCTTTCTTCCTTTAATCTTCCTCCTCCTTATCTTCTTTCTTTTCCTCCATTTCCTTTATCTTCTTCTGCTTCAATTTTTGAAGGTCACATCAATTTTTTAATTGTCTTCTAAATACTGGTTTGGATAGGACAGCAACTTTAAGATATATGGAAATGAAAGTCTGCTTCATTAAAGTACAGAAAATATTCGAACTTTAATTTTCAAGTGAACAATTGTTATTCGAGATTCGATCAAATGCCGCGAATTACTATTTTTAGAAAATGAAAGTAATTATAGAGATTAGAAAGATATTGAAGGGTGAAATTTACGAGTAAGAAGGAGAAATTCTTCATTCTAATTTACTAGATTTTACTATGCTTTATCACAGCCCGAGTATGCCCTAATACAGCCCGAGTAAGCCTTTATTACAATGCCCTGACAATGCCCTTATCATTACTTTACAATTCGAGTTTTAACTAGCAATAAATGCCCGATGAACACAGCTACAACCGCCACAGATTAGGCCCCAAATACAGAGAAACCTCGATGTAGTGAATTATAGATATAATGAGCAGTTCTGTTTATCCTTACTATTCTTTATACGTATATAGCGAGCCCTTGACACTTGATACAACTCAGTCTTTTAAGAGTTCGTTATATCGGGGGTATACTGTATTTGAGGCACTTCGGTTTAGCGCCACATAGATTTAGTGCCAATTTCAATCCATTTGAATGATCTTTATGGATAAGATCCGTTGACGAGCGCTCTACTAGGGTAGCGTTATATCGGGGCAGCTAATTAGTTTTATAATAATGAATTTAATTGGATATTACAGTAAAACCTGTCCAAAACGGAACCTGAATATAACGGAAACACGGCTTAAACGGAGAACAATATTCGTTATCGTACGATTCCTGACTTACGCAGGTTTTACTTTATGTAATAATGTAAGTAAAACCTGTATAAGACGGAGAATCGAACGGTACCGAATATATTTCAGGTGTAGCCAAGTTTCCGTTTTGAACAGGTTTATTAAAGTAAAAAAAAAATCGCTCCGTTTCGAAGGATTTTTCTTCTTAGGCAGGTTACAGCTCTATTCAGGTTCCGTTTTTGGCAGGTTTTAATGTATATATAATTAAAAAATTTTAATTGATAAGTTTGTAATTTATACGACAGATGGCAGCATCGTCTTTTAAACAATAATTTAGTAATTAATTAATTAATTAATTTTATTTATTTAAATGAAATTATTTTAAATAAAATAATAAAAACATGTAAATTTAAAAAAATATATATTATTTATTTATTTATTTTTATTATTATCGAGTAAATTCTCCAACGCTAAGAATATGGTAACCACTTAACATATTTTATAATTTAAATTATGAATTCTATCGATTTTATGACTCGAAAAAGCCATATTAAAGTGAAATGCCTGTTAAAAACGACAACTCGTCTTCTACTTTGACAATTGAATAGTCAATTTACTAAGAAATCCAGCGATGAAAGTGCCATTGAGCTCTACTTATTTGACAAGATTGTAAATTAGCTTTCGGCAGGGAAGCTTAATTAAACTAGTTTAAGAATTTATTTACGCGAATATAAAGCTTTATGTCTTAATTTAAAGGATATATTTTCTAAATTTCCCATGTTAAAATCGTTTTGTTCTAACGTCTGCAACATTCCAAACACGTTGTGATTAATTACTGTTACTCAGCAACGTGAGAAAGAGTTGCCTTCTCCTTTCACACTTGTGTTATCTTCAACGTTTTTGAAATTACCTATACAACGACTGTGCCAAAAGTGCTCCAAACTAAGGCTGATTGTGGTCTTTAAGAGATCTCCAGCAGATAAGTTAAAAATTTAATGCTTTTTCTATGGAAAAATCTGCATTACGTATGTCGGACTTCGTTTCTCGCCACTGGTCTTCACCATTTTATGGGCCTGGCCGAACCCACAATAGATAATACTAAAAGAACCGTCATAATATAAAAATAGTTTCACTTTAGGATGCTACAAACTAAAAAGTATCATAAAGAATTGTTACATAATAATATTTTATTTGTTAATGGATTGGAAACAACAAAGGAAATGCCAAGAAAATTAAAACTGTATAAAATATGTCTTCGTTATGTTAAAAACAATCCGAGAGAAATATTGATGGTATATCAAGAAAGAAATGTGGATTTCACTATGCTGTTTTGTGGACTTCGTAAGTCTTTACGTTGTGTTTTGCCTCATTTTTTCCATATATAGACCCTACATATATGTTGTAAACTGCTTCCGCCCTTGCACTAAGAAAACCTTTCAATCGTATGCATTAAGGATTTGTCCATGCTTACAATCGGGACGGCCAAAAGACGGGACTCGATATATCCGTGATAGACCTTTTACAAAATATTTCTGAGGTTCTTGACTCTGAATGAATCCAGATTTCCAGACCGAGTGGCAGACACCTTTCCTTCCTCGACCATCCCGTGAGCACCAAGAGAATCTTTTTAATAGACTCGTTATGGGTTTAGACAGTGGTGCAAAGGTGTATCCGGACGATAAAAGATTGATTGGTTGTTTGTTTGATTAATGGGATATGGCAACGTAACATTAGGACGATCTGACAAGGGAAGGACCTCTCAGTAGGGAGGATTTTCTATGGGGAAACTGGCCCCCTCCGCCTTCACTTCTTTCTTCTTTTAATCTTCCTCCTCCTTCACTTCTTTCTTCCTTTAATCTTCCTCCTCCTTCTCTTCTTTCTTTTCCTCCATTTCCTTTATCTTCTTCTGCTTCTTCTTTTAATCTTCCTCCTCCTTCACTTCTTTCTTCCTTTAATCTTCCTCCTCCTTATCTTCTTTCTTTTCCTCCATTTCCTTTATCTTCTTCTGCTTCAATTTTTGAAGGTCACATCAATTTTTTAATTGTCTTCTAAATACTGGTTTGGATAGGACAGCAACTTTAAGATATATGGAAATGAAAGTCTGCTTCATTAAAGTACNGATTGGTTGTTTGTTTGATTAATGGGATATGGCAACGTAACATTAGGACGATCTGACAAGGGAAGGACCTCTCAGTAGGGAGGATTTTCTATGGGGAAACTGGCCCCTATTTAAACATTACAGGTGAAGTAAACCCGGAAACTCCACTGGTGAGGTACTTATCCGACTTGCTAGTTAGTGGTTTTGTACACTCGGCCATTGATGGGCTGGTGAAGGAAAGGGTGAGACAGAGTACTCATAAAAATTTAATATATATGCATTAGTATAAAATATTTTATGAAAATAAAGTACATTTCTCTAGTTTAATTGCTTTTACTTTATCATTTTTAGCTCCAATGGTTTGCGAAGATCTAATGGTGCCTCCACCTTATCATAATCCTCTATTCACATATTGCATACACAGAATTGGGATTAAGAGATTATACTTATCTTTTCTTCTATACGATTTACCATTTTTACGTATGGAAAGTGTTTGTAAGGTAGCTTTAATTAAACGATTTTTTAAAAATATTATTAAACAATATTATTGATAAATTTGAAATTATCTGTACGAAATTGATGTCCATCTTTTCAGAAAATTACATTTGCCCATATAACTTTTGCAAATTTATCTGAAGAGGATCTACGAACATTGATAAATCATATGCCGAATATTATCGAATTAAATCTAAGAAACACAAATACAACTGATAAAATTTTAGAAAATATTGGAGAAAATTGCCATTTCTTGAAATTTTTAAATGTATCTTCATGTTCCATCACGGATTTTGGGTTATTCTCTCTATTCTACGATGCAAACAAAGCTTGTCGATGTAAGCAACTTGAATACTTAAGAATAGATGACACCCAAGTCACGTGGAAGGGCCTTATTACTGTGTTAAATACTCACAATTTAAGACTTTTGGATGCCAGCAAAAATGTTTTATACACTACATTAAATCGTTACAGCTGCTATTATTTCGATCGTATTCTACACCTCGAGAATTTAAACTTATCACGATTCTTTCAAGAGGAGCCATTGAAAATATTCGATATATTGCTCTGTACTCCATATTTAAAAGAATTGCACTTACGCGAAGTAAATATAAATGATGAAGAATTGCTTACGTTGCCAAAATTAAATTATTTAGAAAATCTTTCAATCATTTCACGTAATAACAATCTAACATTCGAAGTAGGAATTGTCCAATTTCTATCACTTTCAGGTAAAAATTTGAAGAGATTAGAATTACACAACATTAAATACGTCAATATGTACTTCATTGGAAAATATTGCATAAATCTAGAGACAATCTATCTTTTCTCTATATTTCATCTGTACTTCAGGAGCGTATCTGCCGATAACAAGCCAATTTTTAGATCCTTGAAATCCTTTACATGCAACATACTGGAATGGGAACCATGGGATGATTTCTTCTATTTAGTTTTCAAGAATGCTCCTTCATTGGAAAATATACGTATAAACGGTATTAATTTTAAGGATTATTCATTGAAGTCGATTATTTTTCTACCCGTTACCCTGAAAAAGATTTATTTCATTAATTGTGAAAGCGTTACAAAGGCATTGATATACCAGATTTTTGATCATCTTCCCAATCTACGAGTCTTCCGTTTACAGGAGAGAAAACATTCTTTATCTGTTGATGATTTAAAGGAAATATTTAACCATTTGCATGATGTCAATTCTTCGATGTGGTTCGAATGTTGTGGTCGCTTTCGAGTTACTTCAAGATAAAAGAAAAAGTACAATTTAAAAGTGATCTATTCAAAATTTAACAATATTTATTGATTTTTTTTTTAAATACTGTTTTAAATAAAATTTACGTAGAACATAATTTAATTTTGTTCGAATCAGATGGTTGATCTTGCAGCAAAGTAATTTTTTAACCATTGAAAAGGATTCGGGTTCGAATTCCATCGGAAGTCTCGTGATAATTCAAGCTGGAATGTCGCGTGAAATTTTCTGGATTTTCTTAACGTGTCAACAATTAAATAGGGCCATTTTCTCTGTGGAAATTGGCCCCTATTTAAATGTCCATCCGGAGTGACTTGTCTCGAGGTATGCGAGTAGCAACACGATTGTGTTGAGTGTCACACGATACCAACTCGTTCAGTGAATAGTCTCATTGAAAGAGTGATACCACGCGACACTCCCAATACATTCGTGTTGTTATCCATATAACTTGAGACTAGGCACCTCTTGACAATTATCCATGTGTTCTATTGCTTTGTTTCATTTCAATCCAGAAAACTTCTGGGGATTTTCGACCTCGGGATTCATATTATTCGCGATAGAACGTTTATACGAGGTATATAGAACATTTATATCATCGTAGTGTCCACGTAATAAGTAAAATACTCTCAAACTTCTATTTAATACCTCCCTTTACTAGCCAACGAAATTGGCACTAAATCGAGTACGGCGCTAAACTAAAATACCTCAAACAATAAGTAATGAAGTTTGAATTTGTCCAAAAGTCACATATGGTAATAACAATGTCGAACAACTATTGACAAATAATAATGATCTTTTCCGATATTCATGAGGTAGACCCATTTACGAAAGTCCATTAGCGCTATTTAGATGGTCGCTATATTGAGGTTCGACTGTATATTTTTATTATGTAAATGATACCCAACTTCTTTAAATAAAATACTAGAAAAGTACGGGAAGTCCTCTAGAAGAAGACGATAAGGCCGATCTTTCCCTTAAATTTTTTTATTACTAATAGTGGCTTTATTTTATCATTATTTTCCAATTCACGTTGTAAGTTCTAGTAGTATAATCGTTTATTTCATTACACGACTTTTTAAAAAAAAAAAACACATCTTCCTCTATACGTCACACCATTATTATACATTAAATATACGAGACTATCATTTAAAACATTAATTATTAAAAGATACGATCATTTTCTTTCATATTCTCTTGCAGACCACTGAAAGTAATCAGCAGTTTTTCTCTATTTGCGTCTGTCAGTTACTCACTTCTTAAGAACTACACACGGTTTTATTCGTCTTACAGATCATTAATCATCTTTATTGTGATTGTAGTTCTTCTCTTGTTTCCATTTACCATCCGTTGTTATACGTTTTAACAAGCAAGCTGTACTTAAAAACGTCTCCATCAATTCAGTTTCTTCTTCCTCTTTTGTATTTCTTTTAATAAATTTCTTTTCTTCCTTCATTTTTCCTGATTCCATTCGTTCAACTTATCTTCTCCAAATGCTCTAGTATCTTCTCGTCTCCTCAGTTCTTGCACAATCCTTCTATTTTTTTTTAAAAAAAGATTATTTATAATTTTACTTTCCAGCCTTTTTTTGGGCCCTTTATGGGTTTGGCCAAGCACATAATGGGGCAAATGCGCCCCACATTTACGATACAGATCGCCCATAAAATTTTCTGGCGCCATTATAGCTTCAGCTTATCGGCTTATTTATATACTTCTACGATTAATTAACTAAAGGTGGCGCTAAAACATTACGGAGGACCTCTAGAACATCCTAGCGCCATCTGGTGATAAAAAAATAAAGATGAAAAGATAAATAGTGTACTTAATATAGTCTGAACCAATTTTTTTCATTTTTTCCACTGAATATTCTAACCAAAAACCACAAATAAACAATTCAAAACTGTAAAACTAACTTCTGTAATCCAAATTCTTCACTAATCCGAATAATTAGTTCAGATTATAGAGATTGCAGTATATATTGGTCGAGTTGTGTAACTAAACCAATGGCGGAGCCCGTTTCATTTAGAACATATCTGTAGAAAGTGCCGCCATCTGTTGACAAGTTTTTAAAGCTGAAATATGAATTTTTGTATTTGAAATTAATTTATTAAAAAATATAATTTTTTAAAACGATTTTGCTCTTTTTATATTAGAACCTAAAAATAATCAGAAAAAATATAAAATGTGCAAATAAAAATAAAGCATTCGTTCGTAATAAGTTATATACTTAACTGACCTTTTTATATATTAAAATGAACGATTTTGCAATGTAAATGGCATTATCATCTCCAAAGATGACTTTGAAACTCTCAAAATCGCGTGCACACTTCATAATTATACTTTATTTTTATTATTTGAATTTAATTTAGCGCTACACTCTATTTAGCATTAATTTCAGACATTACGCTAAATCGAGGTTTCGCTAATTCTGACACTTTAGCTGCTACAACGAAGCAACGAAGAAGCTATTTCTTCTGCATAAGCACATAAGTTGAGTGTATTCTAAATGAAAAGTTGGTGTCTATTATCCATACAGTGGTACCTTATGGTACCTCAGCATCCCTCGATACTAAAGCAATCAGTTTGTTACTTTAAAAATGACAGGGAGTACGTGCATTATCCCCCGAATCTGTCTTAAGCAGTACCCTTATTCTCAAAATCCTGGATACGCTAATGTTATCCGTATAAGATTAGCCATAACCAGCAGTTTATGCTGATAGCGAAACCGAATGACCTTTGCATTGACCTTTCTTGCCAGAATTGATGCAGATATCGTCCATGAAAGATCCTACGGAGCGACTAAGCCACATTTTTACCTCAGTGGAACAGTGAACGCACTGTCACATTTGAACATGTAACTGTCACATTTGAACATGAGAAACCCTCCTGTTTTTACCGAACTTCCTAATACTGTATTACAATGTGTTATAGATTCACTACCACATTTAATGCTTGGATCATCCTTCTTCGAAGTTCATTCGAATGAATTTCTGATGCTCGATGACGGTGCAGCGATACCGAAAGATGCTCGATTCTTTTATTGTATTTTCTACCACGTGGCCATCCCCTTATCTGTACCTTAATCCGTGTGATTTTGATTGAAGAGACACTTAAAAAGCATTGTTTATCGCTAATATGTTGAAAATTTGACAGCTGTCAAAGACACTCCCCACAAGACAGACAATAATGATATATTTCAGCACACATTTTTTCAATAATCGCGTTAAGTACAGCTGTGTTCTAAAGTCTAGCACCAATAATTGGTGCAGAACTATTGGGCTGTCAATTAACCTTGTAAAATGAGATGCTGAATGTGTAGTTATTGACTCACGGAATTAATAATTCATGGTCTTAACTAAGATATAGTGACATTAAGCTTTTTTTTTACAATAGAGTAATTTAATGGGACATAAAATAAAAAAGTGATTCTAATGGAATTTCATCAATGATTTCTCCCATTCCGCTGGTGAAGAAATCGTTAACCTTCACAACTCCAAACGTGACAAGATTACTTTAACTCAGTAAATTATGAGAAAACGAATAGGTTAGAAACAGTGATTAGATAGAGAATAAGTTTTCACAACACTTATTCGTTTAATCTAAGCACCATTAGCATTGATTTCGGTACTCACTCACTAATACAACAAAGGTTAAATGCTCTTGAAGAGGTTTTTATTTATCTAATCGATGGTAAATGTTTTGATGCTTAATGTCTAAATGTACTCTAAGAGCTTTTATCTCTGTAACTTAAATAATATATGGACTTCTCTCCATTTTATTAGTACTATCAAAAAATAAGGAAAAAAAGCTGCCTTTATTTTTAAAATTATAATTTGAATATATTAAGTTAGGAGAAGATAATAATAAGTAAATTCTCTATTGGATAAAACACGTGTAAAAAAGGGCAATAACTACAATATAAAACAGAATGTTTCTGTATGTTTTGGTCTTAAACAAGAACTAGAGGAGTTATCTAATCGCGTGAGGACTGATTCCCCTGTAGCCCACTAAGTGGATAAAACCATTGAACACTAGAAATTGGTGGCAGGTTCGCTCCCATCCAAAGGACTTGGGGCATTTTTTGAATGTTTTTCGCTTCGTAGATAGAAGCCAGTTTTCTGCAGAAAGTCCTCCCTTTGTCAGATTGCCCGTACGTTGCAGTGTCTTATTCCATCAATCCAATCTTCTTCCTATGTAACAATTGTTAAATTTTTGTGTGACCCAGTTCTAAGTGATAACGAAACAATAAATTGGTAATATTGCTAGTAAAAAAAAAAAAACTTTAATAAAAAATTTTATCATTTGACAGTTTTTGTGCGCCGTTAAGTGATGGTGATTGTTATCTTTTGATTTATAATTTTGTCAAAAAATTATAGTTCTTTAGTTTTATCTTTTCAGCCGTAGAGAAGCACTTCGCTTCTAATAAAAACTGTTGCTGGATTGTTTACCATTGGCAACGAATCTTAGTGACGTTGTGATTAAAATTGTATTTTTAAAAATTATTTCTTTGCTTGCATTCTTTCAGGCAAGATTTTTTGAATTCATTACTTTCCCGTCTGTTATATATAACAGAAAGTATCTTTAAAATACAATAAAAATGATTACAAGTATGTTTTTGGATGTGACAGGAAGCTCGTTTGTTTCGAATATGTAAGACCATCACCACCCGGTCTCCCCCATTGTGGGGCCTAGTTCACAATATACATAATTAATCATGGGTTAAACCCCATAATGGACTCAAATGGTAGAAAGAGTATAAAACAAATGCGATAAAAGCACTTTTTATTGATTTTATTCATATATTTTTATGGTTTCCGAAAAGGGATTGAGTACCATCTTAATGGATTGTATTGATAAGGTAACCCGACAAAAATGAGCGATCTGCGATTGGGACTAGTGTACCATAAACGTTCTATGGTACACTAGTCCCAATTTAAAAAACCCAAGTGAAGAAAACCCAAAAAATCTCATTGGTCAGAACGTTGGTGAGCGACTTACCAGTGTTATGTGGTTTTATCACTAATGAATATTCTAACGTTAAAATTTATGAAAATAAAATTTCTCTGTCCTCTCATAAATCAAATATAATGTTCAGAAGATATTGAATTATTCAGTGCACAAATCAGAGATAAAAATTGTAATATAATGTAAATTAGGATTTGACACTTGCAATTCAATACGGTCTAAAATAACTATAAAATTATATAAAATTTCGTTCGATTTTTTTTTAAATTTCCGAATTCCCCCTCCCTAAAAATAAGCGAATATTCAATATATAATAAGCACAATTTACAAAAATAAAGATTAGAAGTTTCATACAATAATATACAATGTATTATTTAAGAATCTTACACGCGACTGGAGACGGAAGTTTGTGTTGTAAGCGATCTTGTAGAGCTGCAAGAGGATCTCTTATAATACAAATTTGTAGGAAACTTGAAATTTGTAAAGGCCAGCAGAATGTAAACACCTTGAAGACCATTCAATGTAATGAATAAGTACCATAAGATATCATTATCGCAGTAAGCAGCTATAAATCCAAAGATCCATGTTATGCCCATTATCAGAGCCAATTTAATATACAATTGAAACCGCACTCTCTCTTTACACGTGCTGTTTTCAAGAGAAATCTTTGCACCCTTCGATAAAATCGCTATATGAACAGCTGTAGATATAAAAAAAGCTGTGTTAATCATTAATAATATAGCGATAGGTAAAGCGAAAAAGACAAGAAGAGATATTTTGCTAGAGAACCAACATACTGTGTAAGCGTAATTTGGCTTTAGAATCGATTCAGGTAAAGCATATTCGAACAAAACAGCTAATAATACAATTAAAACCGGTAAAAACCATCCATAAATCGAATATTTAATCATTTTAGTTTTGCTGTAAGTTGGTTTCTTGGCGCGCATCATAGAAAATGTGCACCATAAATCGTAAGAGAGTACGTTATTCCAGAAAAAGGAACATAGGAATGTATAGTGTATCAATATGGCGGAAGCAACACATAGCGTGTGATAATGTATTTTATTAATGGTTACAAGGAACAGTAATTGAGCTGAGAAAAGCGATATTGATAAGTAGCATATAATTGTATTCGGTAATTTCTTAGGGTGCTCGGAGCATACGTAATTAATAATTTTTAAAAATAAACAGAAGAGGGATACACTAGTACAGATGACAGTTAAATAACCGTAAACTTCCCCAAATTTTACAAAACGTTCAACGTTTGAAACGTTTTTGCAAACAAAAATGGCGCTGTTATTTAATTTTTGATACTCTTCCTTCTTTAAAATAATATCGTAATTATTTAAAATTACGGAACCATTTTCTAGTTTTCTGTATTCGCCTTTTACATATTTTCGACATAATTGTTCAGTATCATTACATTTCGTAGAATTATAAGAGCAAAATACATTAACACACTTCTCTTTCCACGGATCGTATATATGTAAAATAGGGCATTTATCAATTTCCCCAACGATATTACCCCCATTTGTAAAATCTATATCTAGAAGTAAACTATAACCTATACCCATTCCATACTTAGTTACGTAAAAGGTATTATAGTCCACGTTTTTAAGACACTGGACGTCAGTATAATCGCCATTACATTGGGCACAGTACTTATTTTTATAAGCGATATCAGCGTAAGAATTATACACGGGTGCATAATAAGTATAACACCTGGCATCTATAGAATCATTGGGGCACTCGGATATTATACTATCGTCCCATTTACAGGGTTTAATAGATATAGTGTTAAGTTTGTAAATCGAAGGTGTTATCACTTTCTGAATGTCTTCAGATGATATTTTCTTATGGTCAACCTTAGATTTCATTATTATAGTCCATGGTATTATATTGAAGTCATCGTTGCATAACGCGCAGTATATGTTCTTGTATGTCATACCAGTGAATTTATTGGAAACGGGAAGATTTGTAAGCGAATTTTCTTCGCTTTCACTTGTACACATGATCTCGATTTCGTTATTCTTCCATGTTTCTAGGCATTGGGTTACCATAAAATAGTAACTGTCGCTGTATAACGCTCTCAAACAGCTAAACTTTTGTTCTTTGGTAGCATTTACTGGTGCATCTATGCAACAGTCCCCAAAATCGGTGCAGTTTATGGAACAGGAACATTGCAAATTCGCACTTTCTTCGGAATTTTTGCAACTGTCTTCGCACGGCGTTTTCTCAATTGTCGTTGAAGTCTTATCGAACTCTTCTAAATACGAATTAGACACATCACTTTTAGCATCCTCTACGTCGTCTTGAGATAAGACGAACGTTTCTAATCTCGGATTTTCGAGAGAGTTATCGGCATTTATCATCATTGTTATTAAGAAAATAATCATAGCTTCGTCTAATGTTTTCATTTTTCTGAAATTAATTTAAAAAATAAATTTCCTAAATAATTATTTTAATCATCACTTTAATCTATTTATCTTAATCTATTTATCCTGCGAAAAATTATGAGACAGAAAAGAAATGTTTTAAATAAAGGGTGGCCCAAAAGTCAGTTAACGGACTTTTGCTTCGGTTATTCGACTTTTGCTCCACGTCGAATAACCGAATTTGATTATTTAAAGTACAGTCAAACCTGTAAACAACGGACACACGAAAAGGAGACACATAAAATTACCATTGTTCGGAGTGGCCGTTGTTTGCAAGTTTGATTGTATATATATATATTTTCTGGTGGTTTATTATTATATACTACTTAATAATATAATTTATAAATTAAACTATATTATTTTCCTGGATAAATTAATTATAAATTATAATTCACTTATCCGGGAAAATATCAGACATAGATTATAAAACTGTGCCACACACAAACTTCCTAGTCATATTTAAAACAATAGAAGCTTAAATATTTATCTGTCGAAAATTTATTTCTATTTTATTATACTCTTATATTAATTATAATTTATCTTCAGTAATTAAGACACAGTTTCCTCAAAAATCCCTAAAATTAGTTTGTTTTTTGGGGATCAAAGGCCACGTGTGTGGAGAAGGCTGCAGAGGCGTACCACCTCGATACAATGAAGATGTCTGTAAAATTTCCAATGTTTAATATAATGGTGTGGAGTTGTATGACCTCTAAAGGTGGCGGAGAAATGGAAATTGTCAAAAAAATCTTTAGATGGTTTGGTCTCAAATAAGTTTAGATGAGCGTGCAAAACTCGTGGGATTACTTCCACTTGAAGTAGTGATAAAAGCCAGCCAACTAAATACTATAACATGAAAATTGGCATATTATAATAAATAATCGCAGAATATATTTGTTAATAATTCAAAAATGTACACTTAAAATAAAACTTTTAAAAGTACAAAGTGTTAAATAAATATATCATTTAGAATATCCTGAGCATTTATGAAATTGCTAAGAGATCTTTCTGAAAAATATTTCTTTTATCATCAACAATCGTAGTTAACATATGAAACTAATCATTTGATTGATCAAGTTTCGTTTCAGATAATAAAGATACAACCTCAACGTTATCTTAAAATTGTATCTATGATGGGAGGGAGCTTCTTACAGAGCCTGCCTGCCAGAAAGATCAGCTTCTTACAGAGTCTGCCTGCCAGGAAGATCAGCTTCTTACAGAGTCTGCCTGCCAGGAAGATCAGCTTCTTACAGAGCTTGCCTGCCAGAAAGATCAGCTCTCAGACAAAAGATAGCTCTTGACAGTCTATGCACTAACGAAATCTAAACCATCTCTCATGATTACTCATATTGCATAATGAATTTATGAGTCATTTTAATGATAAAAATTTATCTTTATTTAAGAAAAAAAAATAGTTGGAGGAGGAAGTAGAAAAGGAGAAAAATAAAGGATTGGATGCTGCGCATCTCATGAAAATGCTCATAATGTAACTTTGGTTCACCAATTTGACTAATTCTGCTGTGTATAAAGCGGTTTGTTAGTTAACAAATCATTTTAATAAATATATAAGGTCTTAAATAAGTTTTGTATTTACACGAATAGACGAAAAAGTCCTGAAGCATTAAATTCTCTCCATCCATCATTACACGAACAATAGAACATATCGATTTACAAATCTTCGTTTTCAATCCCGATTTGCTTTTCATACTGTTAAATTAATCATTTAGACAATTATTTTAATGATTTAATTAACGATAACTTTTTCTTTCTGATTAAAAATTAATGGCCATTTGTCTGCGATCCACGCTCACACTGTTACACGGGAGCTGCCCAACGGTGCAGACAAGTTTTACGTTTTATATATTTTTTTCTCGTCTTTGCTTACAATTATTCGTTTTTCTTCGAATAAAACTGAATCCTGCGTAGAAATCAAACAGAAAACAGCTTACATACTGCAAAATTAACATTTGTTTCCCTTGTTTTTGCATCGTGATGTTCAACATAATTACAGTATTATTAATGCTCCAGTTGATATTGTAAAATATTTTGAAATATCAACTGCAAGTCAGCTGCAATGACAATTATCTTGTAATGAAACATTACAATCTTATGATTTAATTTCGCAATATTTTTCTACGCTTATGAGTTTTATATTCATAACAAAACATGATTTGTAACTGTTTCTAATAGCAGATTGTATATAATGTTCCACACGCGTTAAACTTGTTTTTCTTTTGTAATCTAAAGGAAATTCTCTCAAAGTTTCTAATTTTAACCAAATTTTATTGGCCATGAAGACACTGAAATTACTTTTCGAACAAACTCTTTAATAATTAAATGGCTTACCGATTTCTTTGTTGACCATGAATGCCAGTTCTTCTTGCAATACATTCACGACACCGATTTGCCCATTTTGTAAGTTCATAAAATCATTTACACACATTACAAAATTTGTTAATGAATTTCGGCTGAAGAACTTTTTTATTCTCTTTGCCCTATGAACAATAAGAAACAGAAGTTACTAAAGTTACTCTCAGATATATAAAGACCCCTATTCCAAAGTCATGCTAAGAGGGCCATTTATACATTGAATGATTGCCACTGAAAGCTGCAACGAGCTTCAAACATAACTTTTGAATTGCAACCTTCAGATTAGGAAACCATTCGAAACGTTACGATACAGAAAGATGAACAACGCGAATTTCGTCACTACTGTTTATTTTTATATTCAAGTATTACGTTAGCAGTTTAAAGGGATAGGGGAATTCATCCGTATCTGATGATTGCTGACAATGAGGGGGAGGATACGTTTTTGATGACGTAAGATTGAACCAATTATTTATCTTCTCCCAGTCAACACAGAACTGTGTCTGCAAATAATTTCTGTGTATTTACGAATGGCTTAAACTTTTGGTATGATGAATTATAACGTAATTCAAGAGAGAATTCTAAGAATCTGTTGACTTTGAAGTTTTAATTTTGAATCCAAAACTAATTGTCTTTTAATATATTTTTTCTTTATATTTAGACTCATCGTACTCCACATTTTATATTTATTATATGGCTCGTAATATGTCGAAATTATACATGGCATTGAATTAAGAACCATTATGTATGGAGTTAAGAAGACCATTATACAGTATATGGCATGTAATGGTATTTACGATAGGTATATTACAGTCGAATCCACTTAATAGAGCATCAAATAAGGGAGTAGTCTACTTAGCAAAGCACTCAACAGAGGGTCCTGTAGTAGTCCTGTCAACAGAGCACCCGATATAAGAGTATATTTAAAAACAATAAGTCTGCGTAATGGTCTACTCTAAAGAAATATGTATAAGGGGGTTTATCTTTAACCTTACCGTACAGTACATTATCGCTAGGACTGACTGTGCAAGGCCCTGTACAGTACAGAAAGATTGGAGGCATTCGAATACCATAAACCGCCCACTGGGTGATCTTGTTACTTCTAAGAAGGGAGCGTGATGCAGCGATCCAGAAAATAGCTTCTCAGAATCGACTGTGTACCGTATATACCACAATTAAAATGCACTACGTGATGCACTTGTTTTCATGTAAATTCGATAATTAATAAATTAATTGCTTATGAAAACTAAAGAAACGTTAATTTATTCTAAATATGTAATAATTATTCTTGACTACTTTGTTTGCTTAAAATATTAGCGTTCATATGCCATAAAACGATTCATAAATAAACTCTGTCGCCAGACAGACTGTAGAGCTTGTATTGAATACAGTAATTTCCTACGCACTCGTATCAGGATCACTTAGGGATATTTATTTAAAATTAAAACAGTTGTCAAGGTTTTTAGCGTGTTCCTAACATTCAGTATGACTTTTTGCTCTGTTCGACCCGTGGGCACTAAGAAGGCCATTTTAGTCTTCTCTCTTGTGGGTACGAATAGGCCCACAATGGGAGCGACCGAGTAATGAGATGAGATCCGACTTATTTGAGACAGACCTACCCAAGAAAAATAATCGGAAGTTGGTCGCCAGGATTCGATCCTGGGACTCCTTGGAGCAGCTGTCTGACGTCTTAATCGCCTCTGTTATCTATCTGTCATTCAACAACAGAACAATTCTTCGCTCTTTCCTTACTAATTAAATTTCTTACTTAGCATTTGATTTGTTGATTGATGTTATATAAACGTAATATTTGGACAATTTGTTAAGGAGAGGGAGCCTTCCAAAAAGACTTCTATGGGAAACTGGCCCTTATTTAGGTGTTACACACGTGAATAAAACCCGCATGACCAGTCGATTGTCAGGCGCGAACCAATGGTTTTATCCACTAGCTCACTAGTGGACCATCTTACTTAACATTCTACACGATAGAACACGCCTTGAATAATAGCTTACAACTACTTGTTTCTGAAATTTTCCTTATATTTCAGAAACTACCTTAAATCATTATACTAAAACGGATATACAGGGATTTCCAGAAAGAATTCTACCATTTTAACTTACTGTAATTATATTAAGTACTACTATATGAGAACGTTGTAATGTACATTAAAATATTGGAAATCTGTGCAAGTCTCACATTTGCCCATTATAATTTTTCAACGCGTGCATCTCGTGTCACATGGCACACACTCAACTAATACTCTAATTCTTCCTTCGGCATATACGTTATCACTCCTCTCGAAGTAGCCACAATTCTACAGTTCCTGAAGATTACTCATATTGCATAATGACAAGTGATTCTGACTTTTTGAACTAAACAGAATCTTAAAACACCTTCTTGCAGAGTCGTCATTTTCATTTAAGGAGCTTCATAGCGGTAGTGTAGACGACAAGACGTTTGAATGCAGATGGGAGATAAAACGGACATTATTACTCTATCTATTGGTATACAATTGGTAGACCCCCTACTTCGGCTCCAGCTTTGGGCACTCCTAATTTAACACGATGTTTTAGCCTGTGAGAAAGCCTATTAAGATCTATATGATCTATAAATCTTTGTACGAAAGTATCTAAGCTACTAAATGAAAGTGTAGAGAGAGAGATACGTCATACATGAACATTTAAACACGTCATTTAAACGTTCTGTAAGCAAAACACTTCTTGAAGTTTACGTAATAGATTCTTACGCTTAAAATTGACTCCGATAAGATTAGATTAAACGATAAGAAGAAAGAGGATTCGGATTCAAATTCGGTATTAATTAAAGTAAAATAATAAAATTATTATCATTTTTTTTCTAGTTAATTATCATTTTCGTTCATAGAAACAATTCTTCTATTTGCATATAAATGCAAAATTAACACGAAAACACGATGAATAGACTAAATAAGATCGTTATTATTATTCACATTATAACCTTAATAGTATTTGCAGAGAATATAAGTTATGTAACGCATTACATTAAGTTACTTGCAATATACAGTGTAGCTCAAAAGTCAGGGAACAGACCAACGTACTGTACAGGGTGGAGTAAAAGCCAGGTATTCTATAGGAAATTAGATTTTACAACGGCCAACTGACTTTTGGGCCACATTTAGACAAAGAGAAGGGGTATCTTACCTCTTGTTTTTTTTTTTTAATCGCTTAGACTAGATGTAACAGGTTATATCGAAGAATGATGCAACGAGAAAGACTGAACATTCAGTTTGAACAGGTGAATGGTTGTCATTATCCGTTCAAACTTCCTGTAAAAATGCGTGATGCTAGACAATGAATAGAATAGAATAAATAGTTATTTATACTTCCCAATTCTGAAAATTCATAAAAATTTTATGGATAAAATATTCTTTAATAACTTACAAAAAATATCATCTTATTGTTTAATTTACATATTTTAAAATGCAACATAAAAATTATTGTTAGTGTTATAAAAAAACAACCAAAATAAATCTTGTTTTATTATACAATAAAATAAACATTCGTTCGAAATTAGAACATAAAATTTTACTTAAAATATTAACATAATACACTACAGAAAGGTTTTTAAGAACGATATATATATCTATATATATTACACTATCATCGAAAATAATTATATAGAAGCATTTGAACGTGTAATAAATGTAAATATATTTGTTGAAAGAAGAAACTACTGTACTGTATAAAGGAGATACGTCACACTAGCTAGGGCTTAGGGCCTTGTTTATCTAAAAGGCCTCACACGTTTAAATTTATTACTATTTGATGAAAGATAAGGAGGAGCAATACGTACGAATCTTCTCCTAAATGAGACTCACGTTACGTCCAATTTCGAGTAACTGATATTTAATTTTGTTACTTAACAAAATTACATAACACGTCTCGGCTATTACCTAGAATAACACTCAGAAGAAATAAGGGAGATAATAAATCAATATGATAAATCGAATTATCTATTAATGGTTGACAGAAGCAATATTGTCGAGACGAATAACTTCATCAATAAACTTCTTCTAATAATAACACAATTAAACCTTTCTAATTTATCCAATATTAGATATGAAGGTCACACGTAAATAATTCCGCGAATTACTGATTAATTTTATTATCAATGACATGATTGTGATATAGTAGCCATTAATAGTTTTTCTACCATATTTAACTGATGTTTATGTTTACAATTAACGTAAAATTTAAAGGGGATAGAGAGAGGAAAAAAAAAACAAAGTTAATTAATCTGTAGCGGCATTAATTTACTATTAGATTAATCAAATACAGGGATTTAATTTAAATTAAATCGTACACCGAATAAACAAGTATCGAGAAGGAAATTGGTTGGATTTTTATGTAATTTAAATTAATGGTAAAATTTTAGAGATAAAACCGCATTTATCTATCCAAGTATACGTAATATATAATAAACCAAGAAAATTAAACGTTTTTAAATAAATATGAGGCCTTTAAAACTCATACTTAACGTGCCGCTCATCGTGAGCGGCACATAAATAATTATTTTATAATAAAAATACTGTTTTATTTCGAAAAAGACATCAGTAGCTTTTATAGAAAATTATCATTTTTTTTAATTAAAATGATTTATTAAACTAAATAACGGATAATTATTATAAAATAGGATTTTATGACAAAGGAAGCGATACACGCGGGAGGGCATTCAAATTTTAATTTCTGTTTCTAATTTTTATTGTAAAAATATTCTATAAATAATAATAACAATAATAATATATGTTATGAAGTTATATTATTAAGTACAACTGCACGGTACTTACCTTAATATCATCTGCGATTCACTAAATTTTCCATCATCTATTTGTTCAAGTAGTCCCGATGCTAGCGCCTTGCAGCAGGAAAAAAATACATAATGACGTATAAAGAAAAGTTATTGACTCATTCTATTGGTTATAAACTTGAAAATTTTTTTATATCGACCAATCACGTTCAAGTTGAGTTTTAACGAATCAATTTTTTAATTTAATTTAATACTCATAGTTTTAATAGAATTAATTTTCGTTTAAATGTCTTAATAATGAGAAATAATTTTACATTAATGATGTAAATAATTAATATTATGATAAAACTTTAATTACATTTAAATATCAATAATTTTAAATAAAAATACATTTTAATTAAAATAAGTATCAGTAATTATTTTATAAATAATCTATAAAATATTTAATTTTAACAAAACTTACGAAATAATATCTTTATAATTTTTATTATAAATTTAAAATTTTATTAATTATAATCTTTACTCTAAAAGAGAATAATTACATTTTGTTACATTATTTGGCCGTTAGATGGCGATAAAAAATCATTAAAGGGTTAGAAACACTTCTCACGATATTTTATTTCCTCCTCTAAAAGTAATAATGTGCTGTGTTTACTTTCACAATTCAGGAAGTCGACAAAGTTACTTTTTATAAAATGTTATTGAACTTTGTCACGAAGATAAATTTATTCTATTTCTTAATTGCAACCGTATCTTTATATATACGTTAATTTATCCTTTAATTATTAATAAAATCGAAGCCTTTATCTTTTTATTTATTTTTCGCTAATCAGAAGCGTTACCACCTGTTTTTAAGCAACACCGTTATTCAAATTTAAATTTTGGACGACAGATGGCAGCACAAGTAAAACAATAGAATTAGTTTGGTTTATTTGATTACAACAATGCGACACGTGAGCGATCTGCCGGGGGGATGCTTCTCGGAAGAATTATGGGAAAGCTGGTCCCTATTTAGATATTAACGTAAAGAAAACCCGGAAAACTCCACGTGGCCAATGCACGAACCTACAAAAAACTAACAACAGAGTTCACAGAGTAGTTTTATGCATTCGGCTACTTATTAGAATTAATAAAGTATTGTTCGGAAATGAAAAAATCCGTGTGTTTAGGTAAAATTAAATACTTATATATTTACTATAGACTTTTCACAAAGTAACACTTTCGACTCTATGCAGGCAAATGCTACGTGTATGTTATACCTGTATCAGTAATGATATATTATACTGTATTCACTTGATTACTGTGACAATGATGTGCCTATTTCGCGCTATATCTTTGTCGCAGTAATTAAGTGAATGCAATATATATGCAATATTTTTAAATGCTATTTTTTCTTATAAGCAAATCAAATGGAGATAGAAATTAATTGATTTATAGAAATCTAGTAGAAATTTTGGGGTGAAATTTACGTCATTATTTAAGTTAGAAGTATATGAACACAACAGCTGAATTTCGTAACAATTGACCGAACGGCCTAGGAGTATATAGCGAACAAACAAACTAACAAAGAAACAAAATATATATAAATTACAATAGTTTTTCAGATGGGGCCAATTTTATAATTTTTTTCTTATTGTTAACATCATCTAATTCGTTAATTCTCAATGTTTTTTGACACGAAAAAAACTCAGAAAGTTTATTAAATAAACTATTGGGAACTAAAAAAAATACATTAAATAAATTGAATTTAATTGTATAAAATTAATACAGGATGGCCCAAAGGTCAGTTTACAGGGAGGAAAATAGAATTTGATGCCTTTCTCCTTCAATAATTTTTGTTTTAATTGTGATATTAAAAATGTAAACTTTATAAATGTAGGGCATCGAGCTGCTTATAATTTATTAAAAAGGGATTAGAAGGAGAAGAAAGCCGTGAAAAATGATAAAAAAAACCAAGCAAAGTATCTAAGAAAATATCGATTAAAACATCTAAAAATAAGAAAAAAGAAAATAAAATCACTTGTGATTAAAGAATTTATGAAAATTCCTCACAAAGTTCAATGTCTTTTTATTAATTAATTAATAATTAAACGATTAGGATTAATCAATTGTAAACGATAATTAATTAAATTAATACATGTAAAAATTATTATTATTTTATATTATTGATAATGAAGTGAGTAGAAAATGCAATTTTCTCTTAATATTTCTGGAAAAAGTAACTTATATATATATATATTTTAATTAAATACTTTAAAATACAATAAAAATGATTACAAGTATGTTTTTGGATGTGACAGGAAGCTCGTTTGTTTCGAATATGTAAGACCATCACCACCCGGTCTCCCCCATTGTGGGGCCTAGTTCACAATATACATAATTAATCATGGGTTAAACCCCATAATGGACTCAAATGGTAGAAAGAGTATAAAACAAATGCGATAAAAGCACTTTTTATTGATTTTATTCATATATTTTTATGGTTTCCGAAAAGGGATTGAGTACCATCTTAATGGATTGTATTGATAAGGTAACCCGACAAAAATGAGCGATCTGCGATTGGGACTAGTGTACCATAAACGTNTATCTAATACGACTTAAGTTTCTAATCTATTTAACAGCAACACGGTTAACTGTCTTTTGGGCCACCCTTTATATATATATATAGCCTAAATATATGAATAAAAATGCCCTTACTAGCATTTGGTAAATGGCATCGACTATGTTATACATCTCTTCTCTGGTAATATATCCATCATTATCTAAATCATAAAGTTTAAATGCCCCTAATAAAACAAAATATTATAATTAAATCATGTTTTTATGCATACATTAGCATAAAACATTACTTAAAATACATCATTACAGTGAAGTTTCTCGTCAACATTCCCACGTGACGTGACAGACAGAGCTCTGATGAATTCTTCAAATTCGATGGCCTTAGTGGCAGTTCTTTTCTCATAAATAATAAAACGAATATTTTATCTTAAATTATTTTAAAATAAATTCGTACAGTAAAACCTCCGAACAACGGACACAGAGGAAAACATAAAAAATGGCCCTGTTAAAGCGTTTTAAGTTAAATATTGGAACAAAAGAAATCTCATTTTGGGCTGGTGATTTGTTTCCGGCTTTTCTTTACGTATAATATGGGCACCTAAATATGGGCCAGTTTCTCATAAAAATCTTCCCCTTGACAAATCGCCCACGTGTTGCATGGGCTTACATCATTAATTAATCCAATCCTTCTCACAGGGTGCCCAGAAAGACCATTTGATTTGGGCCTCAAAACATCCATCCTATATTAAGAAAGACACCACGATTTTTATTAAATTTTATTGTTTAATTAATAAACATAATACCAGGATATTTTATATACTGAGGCCTCAAGTAAGTGGTCTTGACATCTGAAGGGCCTTGTTACTTTATAATCGGTTATGAAGTTTTATATGTCAAATTTTTGTGTTAAAATTATTTTAGAATAGAACCACTCAAAAGCCAAAAGAGGCCCGGAGTATTTTATCTTTCTGATGCCTACAGTATACTAAATATATTAATAAACCTCAAAACAACAGCCATTTTTATTACGTTCCCATCAGTGGTACGTTGTTTAGTAGTTTGAGTGTATTTTGAAATAATTCCAATCGATTTGAATATGAGCAAGGCCTCAGATAGGACGTCTCATTTTCCTGTCAACTCCAGTATAATGGCCTTGCAGATCTCTTCCTCCGTTTACAATTTCATTAAAGTCTTGCATTGATAAAAGGATGAGAAGCCAAAAAAATGCTGAAACAGAAGACGATGATTCTGAAGATAAGCTGAATAAATAATAGATTTTATATTAAATTTATATATTTGTATCGTCTGGTATCACTTATTTTGGCTTGAACCTTACGTTTCCACCAGTGACCGAATGGATAAAAACACTAAAAACTGGTGTGTTCCCATCTCATCAAAGGGCTGGACACGCGAAGTTTTCCGGGTTTTCATCACGTGTCTAGTACCTAAATAGGAGCAAGTTTCTCATGAAAGGTGTTCCAGAAATGTGCCTTCTCTCGGTACATCGCTCATCCTCCCGAAAGGTACCCTACCTTGGCAGATCGCCCTTGTCTTGTGTCACCTAATTCAATCATTCCTCAGTTTTTTGTTTTCTCAAGGGAATATCGGGTCCTCCCCTCATTACTTGGCTGTCACAATTATGGGCCTGGCCATATTCGCGATGGGTATGATTTAAAAAGGCCCTGTAGGACATACAGGGCGGAAAAAGAAGACACAGTTAAACTTTCCTATTGATGAACTTTATTTTCTTACGGTAAAAACCACATTATACAATCCTTTTAATGTATAAAATAAATACAATATACTTAATTTTATAATATAATTAAGGTTGATTATAACCTCTATAATTACGCACGCGATCATCAACAGATGGAGTTAAAATTTAATGCTTTTTCTATGGGGAAATCCCTTTTGCAAAATTTCTCGAAAACGGAAGAAGATAGAAACAAACAGTTTATTGCATTAAAATTTTACTTAATTATTCTTTAAACACACGGTTCAGAATTTTGAAACTCGAATTTGTGAATTTTCTATGAATTTTTAAAATCTTAGAAAATTCGCAGAAAAATAACGAATTGGATTTCCAAAATTCTGAGCCGTACGTCAATAGAATAATTAAATACGCTTCTAACACAAAAAACCGTTTGTATCTATCTGTTTCCGTTTTCGAGAATTTGGATAAGGATCCTCCCATAGAAAAAGCATTACTTTTTTTAACTCCATCTGTCGGAGATCCCGTGCGTAATCAAAGAGGTTACAATCAGCCTTAAAGAAAAATAAACCCAAGGAGGTGAATGTATATGTAAAAATAACGTTAAGACGAATATAAAGATAAGGCTTGAACGATTTTCGAATCCAGTTTTGAACCTTCTATAAATTCTTCCAGAGATATTTTATTATCTTGATTCTAAAAAATCCATTGGAATATTAATTTATTTATATATTTATGCATATAAAATAAGTTTAAATTTGTACTGACGCTATCTAATTGTTCAAATATTTTGTCAACTCTCTCTTGAGGGCAGTCGTCGTCTTGTTCTGCTGATTGGTTACCCTGTTTCAATTTAAAAATTTAAATCAGCCAATCATCACTTTTATTAAGAAAAAAAAAAGAAAAAAAAAACAAGATCCAATCAATGGAACGTTTTTTTTTTAAATTTAAATTATTAAACAAACGAATAGAATTAAAAATAACAATTGAATTAACCAATCAAAGCTTTTAAAAATTTAATCCAATTAAAGTTAACAAATTTTTAATTAGCCAATCGAAAAACTTTTTAAAAATTTATCTATTCGGAATCTTTATTAATTAATTATTAAATATAGGGAGGCCCAAAATTTAGTTAACCACTGTAAATCTGTCTTACAAGAATTGCTCAAAATGGGGTCCTTTTTTCTTTATCTAATACGACTTAAGTTTCTAATCTATTTAACAGCAACACGGTTAACTGTCTTTTGGGCCACCCTTTATATATATATATAGCCTAAATATATGAATAAAAATGCCCTTACTAGCATTTGGTAAATGGCATCGACTATGTTATACATCTCTTCTCTGGTAATATATCCATCATTATCTAAATCATAAAGTTTAAATGCCCCTAATAAAACAAAATATTATAATTAAATCATGTTTTTATGCATACATTAGCATAAAACATTACTTAAAATACATCATTACAGTGAAGTTTCTCGTCAACATTCCCACGTGACGTGACAGACAGAGCTCTGATGAATTCTTCAAATTCGATGGCACCATCCTTAAAATTTTTATATATTTATTTATTATTATAATATATACATATATAACTTCGACTTTATAAAAAGGTATAAATTTAATATGTCCTACCTGATTTTCATCGAATACTTTAAAAACGAGAGACGTAAATTTTGATGGATCGCCTTGTGGAAAAAATAATTTATATATTCTTAAGAATCCCTAAAAAAATAAATAGAGAAAATAATAATAAAAATTTATTCATTTTAAACATTTTAAAAATCGATATAAATTTGAAACATATTTGAAATTTTAAACCGACTAATAAAACAAAATTTCCATTTCAAATTGACCAATAAACGACTTCAGTTTGAAATCGACGAATGAACGACTTCCATTTCAAATTTAATTAAAACGGTCTCTGTTTGTTTATTGGCTAAAAATATTTGAATTCTGATTTTTTATAATACATTTACAATTTATCAGAGAATTTTATTCAGTGTTTTTAAAAACTGATCGTAGGGTTCGCGCCTCGACAATGGGCAGTTTTTCGGGTTTTCTTTACGTTTGTAACACCTAAATAGGAGCCAATTTTCCATATAAAGGCCTCCCGGAAAGTATCTCTTTTAATCCATGGATCATTTGGTACCTCTGGCCCTTTGATAGACTCCCAAAACCAGCAACGTAACCAGGAAGGAACTTATATTTTTGTCTTTGGAAGAGGAAAAATGATCGACATTTGTGATTTACAAGTCTACATCTTGTTTACGGCCTTGGTTATAGATACACTTACTTTTGATGTCATATTTAATTTCTTTCGTACTTATCTAATGTAACAAATTCATCTTTCACAGAAGAGAATATTTAATGGCAAATGGGATGGCCCAAAAGTCAGTTTAAAAAAATCAGGAAATTTAGTCGTTAATAATAGTTAACTGACTTTCGGGCCTCTCTAGATTGAAAATGCATATTCCTATCTAAATATATAAAATTACTTGTCCTGATGACTGAGTCACTGACTCATCATCGCCCAGAGCAAACTGCTGAACCTAGAGGTGAAATTTGGTACACAGTTAGGGTACGTCATGGAAACGCACACTAAGAAGGGATTTTTCGAAATTCCCCAGCGGGGGGAGAGGGAAAGCATTAAATTGATAACATTTCAGACATTGTTATATTTTTATATATTTCGATTTTTTAACCGAATGTTCGAACCGTTTTAAATTCGAATTTGTTATTGCATATTGGTTCGATTATAGAACGATAGTAAACGTTCCAGAAAACTGAACAAATTGAAAACAGTTCGTTTGATTCTCAACAATTCTCATTATTCTCAGCGGTAGGTGTTATATAACAATTACTATGGTTGTTGAAATAGTGAATATAAATGGGGTTTGCTTGCAAAACCTCCGCGGGCGAAGTCATCTTATATACTTGTATTTACTTACGACATGAAAAAAAATCTCTAGTAGTTTATAATTTCTTTTATACAGTAAACCTGTCTAGAACGGAACCTGTATAAAGCGGACACAAATTCGATCTGTTCCGGTTTACAAAGGTTTTTGCAATACTAGAGAAATCAGAAAAATTGAAGTTTAATGGAACAAAATTTAACGATTATTTTTTAACTTCAAATCAGCCAATTATGGTTCCTTAGGATCAGAATATATCAAGGGGTATTGTCTTCGGACTCTTCTTGTATAACTGCACCAAAGCAGAGCCAAAAATAACAAAAAAAAAAAGGAGCAGCTTTTCGCCTTGTAGAAAATGTAACATCGATCGAGTTGTTTCAAATAAATATCCGTCCGCCTGTTCCGGTTCCGGTTCCGTTATCTGAAGAGAAAGCTGTCCACAGATCATGTAGCTACCTCCTTAGAAGAGACTATTCTCTGTATTATACTTCCTTTCTGTTATTAATAACAGAAAGAAAGTATGACAATGACCCCTTAAGATTTTTACGTTTTTGGATTCGGAGGACCTTAAAATATTGAGAAATGCAAAAATATTTAGAGGTGTTTTCTATATGTACGGATGTATGTGTGTTTGGGGAGAGGCACGATTTTTGTTCACCTACTTTGAAGCTTAATAACTCCCTTGTTTTTAGTCGAAAATTTCTGAAATTTTGCATGGAGTTTTGTGTATTGGAGACACTGGTGCTATTAAATTTTGGCGGTTAAAGGTCGACGGGGTGGAGAGATAAAAGGGATCACGTGTCGTATCTCGAGTGAGATCGAACTTATAATGGGTTTTATTTTTTATTAGCATTTACAATTTATTTATAAAACTCCTTTCTATTCTCAAAAGTAAGCTTTTTGACATTTTATAATATTTAATAATATAAAAACTAACAAGAATGACTCCCGGGAGGCCTTTATATTAGGTATGGTTTATTTATATAGGGCAAGACCACACGTGGGCAATCTGCCGAAGGGGGAAGGACTTTCAAAGGGAAACTGTCCCCTATTTAGGTGTTACAATTGTGAAAAAAACCCGGAAAACTCCACGTGATCAGCCCGTTGTTTGGTCGTGGGTTCGCGCAGTATTAAGTGGTTTTATCCACTCCGGATGCCGTTATATTGGGAAATTGGCCCTATTTAGGTATTAGACAAGTGAAGAAAAACCGAAAAACTCCAATCCATGATTAGTGTTTGGTGGTTTTATCCCCCGGCCATTGATGGGTATTGGAGGGTTAAGGATCCAACACCCATCAAATTCTATTTTCGTCAAGAAGAAGGAAATCACTTACGCAAAATCATAACAAAATTTGAAAACATATTTTCATATTGGTGAAGCGAACGACAATAGCGTGTCAATCACTCGAGCGAATATATAAAAATTTATTGGACAGATAAAAAAAGACTCCACTAGAATAAAATGGGCACAGGAATCTTTCCGAAAATGATTTATTACACACCATTTTTTCCCCATTTAAACGTCCCTCGATTACGAAATTTTAATGACAGTTTTCTGGTCGATGCGAGTATAAAATTAAATAAAATTTTAATTTTAATTAATTAAAAAAATAATAAAATTATTAAGTAGTATTTTCGATATTTATTAATTAAATTTATTTCACAGTAAACAAGCTGCCAACTAGAATGGGCATTAACCTAAGTCTAGGATTAAATCTTTAAATACATTCAAAGTGCACTTAAAAGTAAAGTAAATATGTGATTTTCTATTGAGAATATAAATTAAATCTGTTAATGGTCATTTACATATCGAAAATTGCATTCGACATTAAATAAATAATCGACAAGTGGAATAACTAAAACCTTATTCGCGTCAAAATCAATAATTTTGCGATTGAAAGTACCACATTACATCTCTCCCTTCTTAGGTTAATTATTTCTCAGCTCATAGGGCTTCAAGTTATGACCTTAAGGCCTCACAGTTTTACGTGCATCATTATACGATGGAGGGGAAGGGTTTGTTATTGATATATTTTATAGCTTAGGGCCACAGCAAGTTTAAGTCTAGCTTTTGTTGTACCGATATACAGTAGAAACAAGTAATTGGAATAATGATTGGGTAGTATGTCCGGATAATTGAAAAATTGTGGATAATAGAATAGCATTTTCAGTGCATCTGTTTGACAACGCAAAGCTTTATAATTAACATAACTAGAGAAGATAAACTCGCTTGTACTCTTCGTATAGCGAGTCTTTCTATACTAAAGCAGAACTGAAAGTGGAGGAACGATATGTGCATATGTTTTCGTTAATCTGTGAGAGGCACGTTTTTGGATAGATGAGAAGGTAGGAGGAGGAAGAAGAAAATAGAGGAGAAAATGGAAGAAATAGGAAACACGGAGGAAGACGAAAGGAAAAGTTGTAGGATGCAGGGAGGTAGAAGAAAGAGTAGGAGGATGAGAGGAGGAGGAGGAGGAATAGGAGAAAAGGAAGAGGAAAAAGGAAAAGTTGTAGGAGGAAGGGAGGTAGAAGAAAGAGCAGGAGGACTGGAGAAGAAGGAGGAGTAAGAGGACGGGGAAAGAAAAAGGAGAAGAAGCAGGAGGAAGGGAGGAAGAAAAAGGAGGAGAAGCAGGAAGACGGAAGAAAGGAGGAGGTGTGGACTTGTAAGAAGAAGAATGACTAGGTTTTCTTCTCCTGCATTGCCAAATTGTTTAAGATTAATTTATATGTAATATAGAAACTATTTTTAACGACCTTAACTATTCATTGATTGAATTTGCAGCTTATCGAACCACAATAAAGTTTTACTATATTTTGTAAAAATATACCCGATAACATTGTATTTAATTATTATGCTGTTTTGAGTATTTTACTTAACACAGTTTACCTCTCTTCTAAAGGTTCCTAACCCAAGAAGGGATAAAGACTGATAACGATGATAATTCATAATTACTTCTTTGAACCTCCCAAATTATTTGTAAACAGATATTTATAAAATAATTCATCATAATGGAAAACATTAAATTTTAATAAATGAGACAGTTTATTTCTAAATAAAAAATAAATTTCATTTTTATTTTTAAAGCGAGCCAAAGCGAGAAAAAAAAAATTTTCAGCAACGAGTTGAGTAACTTTTCCGGAAATAAAGTTAAAGTTGTTTATGGCTCCATCTATTGAGCTTTTATTATACGTATTATTAAAAAGGCAAAAAGCTTAATTTTCAGGATAAAGATGAGTTTTATAAATAAATTGTAAATGCTAATAACGTATAAAATCTTTATTAAGTGCGATCCACTTGAGTTATGACAACACGACCCCTTATCTCTCCAACCCCTCGACCTTTAACCACCAAAATTTACCTGCATTAATGCCCATAATACACGAATCTCACTGGAAAATTTCAAAAAATTATGTCAAAAGACACGGGAGTTATTAAGCTTCAAAAGTGGGTGAACAACTGTAATGCAAATCAATTTCTAGAATAAGTTATTTCTAGAATATTTCGAATTTATCTATAAAGAGAGTATCCTTATTCGATGCTGGAAACCTTAAATAAATAAATAAATAAAACTAACGTTATTAACGTCCACTTTAATCATTTACCTGTTCAGTTAGCAATCCATCAGGACAGTCTTTTCTAAACCCCTTATACCTAATAGGAAATAATTATAAATGAATAAAAAATGTTTATGGANGTTTCTGTTATATTAGTATCATTTATGTCCAATAAACAAGCCTGTTTAAAGCTGTGCACGCTGAGAGTTGGGTGTTTAAAAACCCACCGTTTGACAGAGCCAGACAGCATAAGAGGTTAATAATGGCACCCATGTTGGGATGGTGAGGAATTTTTCGTACGTAAAATGTCGAAGAGTTTTCACTTAATGGACAGATGATCCATGAAAAATTTCTAAGGTTCTCTGCCCGGATTCGATCCCGTGTCTTCCAAAGTGGCAAACTTACGCCTGTATTGCCATATAGATGCCATACACTAGGATGTTATGAGACCCAACAATGGCAATACCGATGATTACTGCTAGTTGGTCCCAGGTTCGCGCCGTGTGCAGTTTTTCGGGTTTTTCTCACTTAAATACGTGTGGGCCAATTTTAGCATTGACAGTCTCCATCGGAGGCATTCCAATCGATCTCATGTTGCATGGCCTTATTCCATCAAACCTAAATAGAGGACAGTTTTCCATGAAAGACCTCCCTTTCGGCAGATCGCCCTTGTGTCGCTTTGCAATAAAGAAATATACCAAACTTTTATCCCTTCCAATATACGGATAATATCTTGCTACATTGTTATACGACATTTATTGCTATCTACTTATATAAATCTATTAATTTTTTTTCTGAAAACTGATGCGGGATGAACTTTATAGTTAAATAAATCATACATATGCGGGTCGAACCAGATTTATTCAATCGTAACGCATTTTCTAATGTAAAAAAACCATTCGAAAAAGCGACGAAATTACCTTAATTAAGCAGTTTTAATGATTTAAAATTCAAATTTATAAATAAATTTTGATTAAATCCAAATATTTTTCGAAAAATTGTAAACGAAATCCAAGGCATGTACAGTACAAATCACAATTTTTACGTCATTTATTTCGTCACAATGATTTTCTTTATCAAGATTTTTTTGGAGTATTTCGTACTGAAGAATTATTAAATAAATGAAATCTTGTGACACGTTGCTTGACAGGTGAATTCTTTCGATGTTTCAAGAACTTCATTCCTTGCTGGTACTCAATAGTAATAGTAATATTAATATAATTCTGACAGATATAAAACAAAAGTTCTATATCTAATAAATCCATAAAGTTGTAAACTGAACCGTGAAATGAAATGTAATTCGCTATATCTTATGTCTGAAGTGTATATATATATATATATACTTCTGATACGACGTATTAAAGAAAGTATCAGCCTATCGCTCTGGGGAACCATGGATAAATCCGGGCGAGCAACTCCTCAGAGATTTTTCGTGGGTGGTCCACGAATGCTATGGCCTTACCTGGCCACCCCCGTGTGAGCTTTGCCCATTGAATTGGTCTGAAGGAGTAAGGCAACACAACAATTGTGAGATTTGACAAGGGATATCTTCCAGGATGATCCTGTTTAGGTGAAGAAAACCCAAGAAAATCAGCCGATGGGCGATCTGCCGAGGGGGTATGCCACCCCTTCGACCTTTTACCACCAAAATTTAATAGCACCAATACACATAATACACAAACTTCCCTGCAAAATTTCAGAAATTTTTGACCAAAAACAAAGGAGTTATTAAGCTTTAAATAGGGCGAACTAAATCGTGCTCCCACCCTCCACACGCTTAAAATCTTCATTTTTTGACCAATCGCCACACTTTAACTGACTTTTAGGTCATCATATTTACATTAAATCGTTTAGCTTTATAATTTCTTCTTTAATTAAAGATTAATACATGAAATTTATTCAAATTTAAGTATTGATTTGAATTCTCCCTCTTCTTCCTACGGTTGTGATAATTATATTTATGATTACTTTTCTGTATATATAAAATTAAAAAAAATGATTTTTGATAGACAATATTATTACCAATTTATTAAAATTTAGCCAAACTTTACTCATCGCAACACAATTCATACACAGTTTAATGTAATATATATCGACTGTCGCGACGAAAGTAATTATCGAGCGTAACATTTCTGTTACGAGATGATTTCTGAAAGAAGTTTCATTAACGTTTCAAGCTCGTATAATTGTTATTTTTCATGCTAAATTTTTGAAAATTATAATTTCGAAGACCCCATTTTGTTAAGTTCTTTTACATTTGCGCCTATAATTTAACCCCAAAGTCAATTAAAGAACTGCTTATTCTTTCTCTTCCATCTATTAAACCGACTTTTGGGCCACCCCATTATTAAATAAAAGGACCAAAAAAAAAAAAAAAGTATGTAATACACAAGAAAACATTTATTTCAATTATTTCGTCAACAATTTAAATATATTTTCCCTTAGGAAAGATAAAAAAAAAAACTTTACATAAGAGGATAAAAATTAATCTTTTCAATGTTTTTCTTAATATATTTAATTTAAGAACAGTAAAAAAGTATATTTTTTTCCTTAGTTTACCTTCTTTTTTTACTTAACTTTTAACTTTTTGCAGAATTAATTATAATTTATTTGGTAAGAAGGGAAAGGCAGTTGCAGTTACTATGACAACTTAAAAGAAGGAATAATTGGTGTTTTTTGTATGATTTCTAAGAAGTTAAAAATCTGTAAATGCCTTTTTAAATTAAAGTGGAAAATGAATGAGAAAAATTAGTCTAGTTTCTGTTATATTAGTATCATTTATGTCCAATAAACAAGCCTGTTTAAAGCTGTGCACGCTGAGAGTTGGGGGTTTAAAAACCCACCGTTTGACAGAGCCAGACAGCATAAGAGGTTAATAATGGCACCCATGTTGGGATGGTGAGGAATTTTTCGTACGTAAAATGTCGAAGAGTTTTCACTTAATGGACAGATGATCCATGAAAAATTTCTAAGGTTCTCTGCCCGGATTCGATCCCGTGTCTTCCAAAGTGGCAAACTTACGCCTGTATTGCCATATAGATGCCATACACTAGGATGTTATGAGACCCAACAATGGCAATACCGATGATTACTGCTAGTTGGTCCCAGGTTCGCGCCGTGTGCAGTTTTTCGGGTTTTTCTCACTTAATTTATAAATTAGAAGATAACTCACCATTGCTTTATCTCCTTCTTAGTGACTGCTTAGATCAAAAAATGAGAAAATTACATTATAATCCCGAAGGAACGACAATGTAATTAATTCATTTTTGGTAAAAATTATTTAAATAAGAAAAAAAAATGGCGCTGGTAATAAATATTTGGTTNGCAGTTTTTCGGGTTTTTCTCACTTAAATACGTGTGGGCCAATTTTAGCATTGACAGTCTCCATCGGAGGCATTCCAATCGATCTCATGTTGCATGGCCTTATTCCATCAAACCTAAATAGAGGACAGTTTTCCATGAAAGACCTCCCTTTCGGCAGATCGCCCTTGTGTCGCTTTGCAATAAAGAAATATACCAAACTTTTATCCCTTCCAATATACGGATAATATCTTGCTACATTGTTATACGACATTTATTGCTATCTACTTATATAAATCTATTAATTTTTTTTCTGAAAACTGATGCGGGATGAACTTTATAGTTAAATAAATCATACATATGCGGGTCGAACCAGATTTATTCAATCGTAACGCATTTTCTAATGTAAAAAAACCATTCGAAAAAGCGACGAAATTACCTTAATTAAGCAGTTTTAATGATTTAAAATTCAAATTTATAAATAAATTTTGATTAAATCCAAATATTTTTCGAAAAATTGTAAACGAAATCCAAGGCATGTACAGTACAAATCACAATTTTTACGTCATTTATTTCGTCACAATGATTTTCTTTATCTAGATTTTTTTGGAGTATTTCGTACTGAAGAATTATTAAATAAATGAAATCTTGTGACACGTTGCTTGACAGGTGAATTCTTTCGATGTTTCAAGAACTTCATTCCTTGCTGGTACTCAATAGTAATAGTAATATTAATATAATTCTGACAGATATAAAACAAAAGTTCTATATCTAATAAATCCATAAAGTTGTAAACTGAACCGTGAAATGAAATGTAATTCGCTATATCTTATGTCTGAAGTGTATATATATATATATATACTTCTGATACGACGTATTAAAGAAAGTATCAGCCTATCGCTCTGGGGAACCATGGATAAATCCGGGCGAGCAACTCCTCAGAGATTTTTCGTGGGTGGTCCACGAATGCTATGGCCTTACCTGGCCACCCCCGTGTGAGCTTTGCCCATTGAATTGGTCTGAAGGAGTAAGGCAACACAACAATTGTGAGATTTGACAAGGGATATCTTCCAGGATGATCCTGTTTAGGTGAAGAAAACCCAAGAAAATCAGTCGATGGGCGATCTGCCGAGGGGGTATGCCTTCCGAAAGATCTTTTATGGGAAATTGGCCCCTATTTGGGTATTACTAACGTGAATAAAACCCGTTGGCGAGGGGCAAACCCACCAGTGTTCGGTGGTTTCTCTCCACTCGATCGCTGTTGGGTGGGCATGGCCGAACCCACGACGGCACGATTAAGTAGTTCAGAATTGCATTTGTTAATATAAACGTTTAACATGAAAAGAATATTTAAGCAAAATTTATATTTAAAAAAAATATTATACAGATGATAGATTTAAATTCAAGCAATATGTAGTATTGATAAAATGATACCTTGTTGATTAGCCCACAACTTTACCGTTATGACTATACAGTAATTATTGGCTACAGCAATCTTTTGAATTGCCAAATGATAAGGTTTCAGCTCGGATATCTCATAGAGTTTCTGTAGAAAATGCTTTCTTCGTGTCCTAAACATATCCAGATATGTAAGACTTGGATTGCGTGACAGATTACTCGACTAACATCTTATATATCTCTATGTGTAGTTTTGTAAATAAGACTGGTACCAAATGGTATTTTTTCTGAGCCATTTCTGCCATGTGAACACTAAGAGGGCCTTTTCTTCAAAGCATATAATCGTACAAACCTGTGAAGAACGGCCACTGATGATAACTCCAAAAACAATGGCCGTTTTTACAGATTAAAATATTCATTCCTCTTCAACGTCTCGCCCAAAATGGCCAGAGTTTAGAGGTTCAACCTTATTGCAAATCTGTTTTAATTATGCAAATTACTGTTCTTCACTAGGATGAATTTCCTCCAGCAGCATGCAGTGACCATGAGACAGATGTATAACACTTCTCCCTCATATTGAATAGAAAATTAATCTGCATTCGACCACACGAAAACTTTGCAAACTTTTCCTTTATATTTTCAACTTATATTTTGATATTATCATTCCGTAACATCACTTCGGAGCAGGAAAGAAGCTTAAAATAGCGAAATTAAGCCTAGAAAAGATAGGAAATCGATAAATTAGTGCGAGAAGAGGAAGTTGCAGAGGAGCATTTGCTTACTAATACTGTTACAATTCATTTATATCTTCCAAAGTTATTCGTAATTAAATTTTAAGTGAAAGAAGAGCGAGAGGAAGTAGGTCACGTGTTCGAGACTTTGTAACAATCGTCATCTGTGGATGATGTGTGGTTACCACGCAGAATTTTGCTCGATATTTCAATAAAAACGAGTTAAATATAGAAGAATTTCCAACAATTTTCATAAAGAAGGATCTTTTTTAAAGCAGAATTTCACTTTATAAACCGATTTACCCGAGCAGATGCCATGTTTTTCCATTTATACTACAAGAAAACACGCTAACAAGTTGAGAACTGGATGAATTAACAGTTAAAAACAGGGTAATAAGGGAAAAAATAATAAGTATCCATCAAGAAAATAAGAAATATTTTATTAAAATTTAGTTTAAAATGTATTTTTCTTTATTAAAAAGAGCATTAAACACAGCGTTATCCTAAACTGCATTTTTTTATGTTTATACAAGCCAAACCTCCGAACAACGGACACTGACGGGGGGAGATGCCTATTGTTCGGAGGTTATACTATGCAATTTCTTTGAAAAAAAACCCCCAAAAATAGCCGCTATTTAGAGGTTACAGTATGCATTTTTGTTCTAAAAATAATTCCCGAAACTGGTCGCCGTTTACAGGTGACCGTAATTGAAGGTTCTACTGTAACTGCACTCTTTACAAAAAAAAAAACAGGGGGGCCTTAAATTTATCCAAAAAGAATCGAACAATTCGAAGAAAAAGAAGAAAAGAAACTAAGCTTCCAGGTTTATTTTCCAGTTGAAAACATTTTAATTTATTCTGTCGCAATTGATAGTTGTTGCAACAAGTGGAAAAAAAAATATATTCCTTCCCCCCCACCGACTTTTATTTTATTTTTCTACATACAAATACACACAGAAAACGAATAATATATATATATATATACTATGTATTTAAATATTGAATTTTCTCTTTACAGGAAGCATTTGTCAAATAAATAACAATTTCTAAAGGTATAGCATAAATGTATCTTTAGTGTTTGTCTTGTTGGTTGTAAGTTGATTATGTAAGTCTTCCCTATGAAACCTTTTCAACATAAATATATATATTTTTTTATCCTATTTTATCTTTAAATCGGAGTGCATCTCTCTCCGACGTGTTTATCTTTATATATTTTAATTCTTGTTTGCTGCGGTTAATTTTTCCTGGAAAATATAAGAACCTTCGATAACGGACACCTCACACAGCGGCCATTTTTTAAACAGAGCGTGGTATATTTTTCCCTATTAAAACTAATAAAATTTACCATTCATATACGTTTTTTTTTTTTTTATCTGGTTAAAAACAAGTCTTCGTTTTCTATTTATGTCCAGTCAGGAGGGCCTATTAGGACCCTTTATAAGGATGCCGACAGGCCCTCCAACATCACACAAGACTGCTGAGGAGGGGCGATCCAACACCATCTCACTTGATTTAAGGACCCTTCAATACCGCCACAATTGATTTAAGGGCCCTTCAATATCATCTTAATTGATTAGTCATGGGGCCTTCAACACTATCTCAATTAATCTGTCAAGGGGCCTTCAATGCCATTCCAACTGATTTATTAAGGGGCCTTCAACATCGTCCCAATTGATTTGACAAGAAATCTTTAGCCCTATCCAAATTAATTTAACAAAGGCCTCGAAGGGCCTCCAGCACCGTCTCAATTGACTTAACATAAAAAGTTTACATTAATATTAAATAAAAAAAAATTAAGTATAAAAATATGAGAGATACTCACAATAAGTTTCATTCTCTAACCTTTCGAGGACGTCCTCTTTCAATTTACTCGCTTTCTTCCCCATAGGAGAAAGAATACAACACACTTTCTTCGACGTGCAGGTGCATCTACTCTCAAGCTCAACATACATATTAACTAACAATTCTCCCGCTAGGGGCGTTTATACAACTTTCAAATACATTATAATTGACCCTAACAATATATTGAAGTTTATATAATATTAACGGTAATTTTCAAATTTTTTTTTTTTTTTTTTT